CAACCGAAACTCAATATTAACCCTTGTCCATGGATCACAGGGCAGGGGAGGATGGAAACTGTTCAATGATGTGTTCAGTTAACTCCACCCATAGCTTTCTCCATTTCAGTGAAAAGTACATGAACTCGAGATCCAGACAGCAGCTATAATATGGCCAATCTCCATTTCCCATTATATGTTATCTCATTTACTTCAGAAACATATCCCACAAACTGGTTGAATCAACGCTGTTTCAATGTAATGTGTCAACGTATTGTGGTGTGGAATCTATGTGGAAAATACAATGGATTTGAAAAAAGTAATCAACGTGAACTGTTGTTTTGAAGGTGAAATTTCAACAACAGGATTGTGTCATCATGGTAACCAATTCTCAACATAGACAAACCTTGTATAAAATACGTTGAATTTGTACTTCGTCAGATCTTCAACATTATCTCCACGATCAGACAAAAAAATAAAATAGGCTGGGCAGCACCTAATGGAGAGTTGATCTAGCTACAGCTATTCATTTGGTCTCCCATCCAGGGTTTTAACCAAGCCCAGCTCTGCTTAGCTTTGACATTTGTCACTAACTACTACCAATGTGCTATCATGAGAATTATTATTGAGAGATCTCTTAATAACTTCACCAATCAGGCCTTTATGGTAGAGTGGCCAGACAGAAGCCACTCCTCAGTAAAAGGCACATGACAGCCCACTTGGAGTTTGCCAAAAAGCACCAAAAGACTCTCAGACCATGAGAAACAATATTCTCTGGTCTGATGAAACCAAGATTGAACTCTTTGGCCTGAATGCCAAGCTTCACATCTGGAGGAAACCTGGCACCATCCCTACGGTGAGGCATGGTGGTGGCAGCATCATGCTGAGGGGATGTTTTTCAGCGGCAGGGACTGGGAGACTAGTCAGGATCGAGGAAAAGATGAACGGAGCAAAGTACAGAGAGATCCTTGATGAAAACCTGCTACAGAGTGCTCAGGACATCAGACTGGGGTGAAGGTTCACCTTCCCCCCCCCCCCCACCCCATTGACTTTAAAAGACACAGACTTAGATTTAGTCCTCTGTAGCTCAATTGGTAGAACATGGCGCTTGTAACGCCAGGGTAGTGGGTTCGATCCCCGGGACCACCCATATGTAAAAATGTATGTACACATGACTGTAAGTCGCTTTGGATAAAAGCGTCTGCTAAATGGCATATTATTATTATTATTATTTAACTTTGATTTTTGGTTGAGCTGGAGATGTGAATCCAACATATCATATCATGTAGATAAACAGGATACTGAATTGTGTTTGGTTGTCAATGCAACCAAATATCAACATTTGAAGGAGATGTATCTTCTGCCTAGATAGTTCCATCTGTGCCACTGACTTAGTCTGGCTTTAATTCCAGTTTTTCTACAAATTAATAATTTATATGTTGGATCCATGTCTCAATCAGTCTCCATCTCAACTAAAATGACTAAATCAAATCAAACTTTAAATGCACTTTAAATAAAGGTTGATTTGATTTAGTCCGGTTCTTTAACTTTGATTATTGGTTGAGATGGAGACATGAATCCAACATAAAAATTATTAATTTGGAGACTAACTGGAATTAAAGTCAGTGGTACAAAATATAAATCTCCTTCAAATGTTGTGTTGCCAACAACTGCCAATTGATGTAACAACATACGCAGAGTGGTTCTGCCCCATAGAGATCTATGCTCTGCCCTTCCCCGAGCCAATGACGTGCAGTGGTGAGTAAATTTTTGTTACTCATTCCATTTCTTTGGAAAGATCACACCTATTTTTATTGAATCCAATGCCAAAGTCTAGACTAGTTGCTGACTAATTCACTACTCAAACACCATATAAAAGGGGTGTATCTGAATAATTTATAGGAGACCGAAAAACAAAGTGAAATGCATTCTGAGATCATCAAGACCCATGCCTCACCCAATTGGCCGTTGGTATAAAGCCTAATAATAATAATAATACCTTGAAAGTAATAACCAAATAATAAGTTATAGTTTGACATACTTATAATGAATCACAAAACCAGCTGGGCACATCACGTCGTTTCAATGTGGAAATGTGGGTAATACTTGGTTGAGACATTGATGAATTACATTTCAACCTTTATTCACCATTTAAAATTCCCAATGTGTTATCACTATATGCTTTTAGCCATCTAAAAGCACAACCAAATTCCAATGGAAAAACTATATCTGATTTTTCGTTTAGTTGTCAACTAAATGTGTTATCACTGCGCTTTCAACCATTTAAAAGCACAACAAAGTTCAAATGGGAATACAATGTCAGATATTTTGTATTTATACAACAACTTAATGTGTTATTATTTCATCTAATAGCACAACAAAATGTCCTGGATTGCAGTTGAGATTACATTAAAAGCACATAGTGCAAGTGATCAATGCTGTTCGAGATTCTGTGCAGATTATTATAGCAATTGTGAAGATCTCTACAGACTTGTTACCTTTGCATGTCCAACCTGGTCTCAGAGCAAAAGTATTATATTTGACAAATATTTGTGCCACTCCATTTAGGATGATATTTTACTTTAGGTTAGGTTACATTACATAGGCCTCCCAATGTAATAGCGGTCGTACAATATAATACGAATTGTAGGACATATATTATCCTACATCATATCCTCCCGAGTGGCGCAGTGGTTTAAGGCACTGCATTGCAGTGCTAGCTGTGCCACTAGAGATCCTGGTTTCAAATCCAGACTCTGTCATAGCCGGCCGCGACCGGGAGACCCATGGGGCGGCGCACAATTGGCCCAGGGTATGGGAGGGAATGGCCGGCAGGGATGTAGCTCAGTTGGTAAAGCATGGCGTTTGCAACGCCAGGGTTGTGGGTTCGATTCCCACGGGGGGCCAGTATAAAAAATAATGTATGCACTCACTAACTGTAAGTTGCTCTGGATAAGAGCGTCTGCTAAATGACAAAAAAATTAAAATCTTGATTGCACCAGTTTGCTATGACCCATTTAGTATGATATATTACGCTCGACTGCTTTAGTATCATTGGAGGTTCCTTAGAGGAGGAAGGGGAGGACCATCCTCCTCAGTGAAAAAATTTAAGTAGTGAAACATTAAAGTTATCATTTTTAGATAAAAAATGGAAATAAAATAAAAAAATTAAAAATGCATTGTTGGTTAAGGGCTTTTAAGTAAGCATTTCACTGTAATGTCTACACCTGTTGTATTCGGCGCATGTGGCAAATAAAATGTGATTTGATTTGTCTAGCAACCCAATGGTTGGGTGTTCAAATCTCATCACGGACAACTTTTAACATTTTAGCTAAAACTTTGCTACTACTTACTACTTCTAACTACTTTGCACCTACTTAGCAAAATATAATACGTTTTGCTCTGAGACCAGGTTGAATAGCATGCAAGGTGGAAGGTCTGTAGAGATTTTAACAATTGCTATAATAATCTGCACAGAATCTCGAACAGCATTGATCACTTGCACTATGTGCTTTTAATGTAATCTCAACTGAAATATACTCCCGAGTGGTGCAGTGGTCTAAGGCACTGCATCGCAGTGATCCTGGTTCGAATCCAGGCTCTGTCGTAGCCGGCCACGACCGGGAGACCCATGGGGCGGCGCACAACTGGCCCAGTGTCATCCAGGGTAGGGGAGGGAATGGCCGGCAGGGATGTAGCTCAGTTGGTAGAGCATGGCCTTTGCAACGTCAGGGTTGTGGGTTCGATTCACACGGGGGAAGAGTATGAAAAATAAAAAAGTAATGTATACACTCACTAACTGTAAGTCGCTCTGGATAAGAGCGTCTGCTAAATGACTAAAATGTAAAAAAATGTTAAATGTAAATCCAGGTCATTTGGTTGTGCTATTAGATGAAGCACAGTCATAACATATTAAGTCGTTGTATAAATACAAACTCTGACATTGTATTCCCATTTGAACAGTGATAACACATTAAGTTGTTATATAAATACAAAATTTCTGACATTGTATTACCATTTGAATTTTGCTGTGCTTTTAAATGGTTGAAAGCACAGTGACAACACATTTAGATGACAACTAAACCAAAAATCAGAGTTTTTTCATTGGTATTTGGTTGTGCTTTTAGATGGCCGAAAGCATATAGTGATAACACATTAGGAATTTTAAATTGGTGAATAACGGTTGAAATGTCATTGATCAACGTGTCAACCAAATATTACCCACATTTCCACGTTGAAATTACGTGATTTGTCCAATGGGATATTATAATGAGTTACTATAATTATGTATTACTATAATGTATTATTAGGTTATTACTTTCAATGTATTATTATTATTATTATTATTATTATTATTAGTCTTAATACCAAGGGCCAATGGGGTGAGGAATGGGTCTTGATGGTCTCAGAGTGCGTTTCTCAGAGTGCGCTTTTTTCGGTCTCCTATAAATTATTCAGATACACCCCTTTTATATGGTATTTGCTCAGCAACTGGTAAGACTTTGGCTTTGAAATCAATAGAGGTGTGGTGTGTTCAAAGAAATAGAATGAGTAACAAAAATTCACTCCCTGCCGCACGTCACTGGGTCGGGAGGGGCACGCTGCACAGTGTTGCTAGGTTGCTAGAAAGTGAAACATCAACAGACAGTTGAAGTCGTCGATGGACTGGGACTGAGACTGATTAGCCAGCCAGCTATAGATAAAGTGAACAAGAATAGAGAGAAATTGTTAGATCGAGACACAGACTTGTCTTTACATGAATTCGATTTTAAAATGTTTTATTCAAATTCATGGACCAAGTGCTTGATTTGCCTTATCTTTATAACATGTGGAAATTGTGAGTGAGTTTCTAGCCATGGTAACATCGTAACCCTTTGCTAGTTAAGGTTGATACAAGTTTTTGCTGAAAATGTTTTGCTTAGCTAGCTAACGTTACATACTTTGCTAACTTGAACTGGCTAACGTAACTCTGTCATTGTGTGTGGAGTTTACCTATTTTACTTTATCATATTCTCACAGCTGAATGTCCCAAACCTCAAGTGGAGGGAAATCAAAATGTTGTTCTAACGAATGATGCGCTCCTAAAGAACGATTTTCCGGAGGGCTCGGAAGCCACTTTTGAGTGTGCCAACGGCTACATGAAAGATCAAGGATCTGAAAGTATCACCTGCACGAGTGGAGAGTGGAGCACGCTGGAATTAACCTGCAAAAGTAGGCAGCGAAATACTATTCCTTCTGTTATTCTGTCAAGTGCGATTGTTATTGAGTGTTTACTGTTGGTTGATTGTTTGCTGCTGCCATTAGCTCGCTGATTATTGATTTCAGAGAAGGACTGCGGTGCACCCAAGGAGATGCCACATTTGACATATGAGTTTGGTGAGGAAGGGACGCTTTTTGGTGCATCAGCAAGAGCATTTTGTGAAAAAGGGTGAGTATGCTTCAATATCTGATGTATCATCAGAGTATGGGGGAATTATTTTGCCCAAAGATTCAATGCCAGACAACCTTCCCCCCACCCCACCTCGTCTCACATGCTCTCTCCCCCTCTCTAGCTATCAAGTTCAGGGGTCAAGTTACAGGCAGTGTTTTGCCACAGGTTGGAGTGGAAGATCAAGATGTGAAGGTAAATCTCACATATTTGCCGTTGACACACCTTGGACATCTAAGGCATTGAACTTGTTTGAATGAAGATCACAAATATTACTGCTGAGCGATTAGTGCTTTTTAGAGTCAGTTCTGTTTCGGTTCAATTATTTGAAAATAATCACGGTTTTTGGTTTGATTCTTTTTAAATAATGACATTAAAATGATTTTAGAACCAACAATAATGAACTTTCAATTGCAGAAACATTAGTTATTTAATAGCCCAAAAATTATAATTTGGTTAATCGCTCAGCACTAACAAATATATTGCACCCATGTATTTCTTCCTCAGTGGTAACTTGTGACGAACCTTTTGAGATAAAGAATGGCACGATCTTAGAGAAGCCTGACAAAGAGTTTCCAGAGTATGGGGATGTCATACAGTACTCCTGTGATGAAGGTTACACCCTCATTGGAAACAAATCCATTGAGTGCAATGAAGATGGTGAATACAACTCATTCCCTCCTGAATGCAAAGGTATGGATTCCATTTATGTTTGATAAATTATCTGCCAACTGTGGGTTATATGCTTTACAGAGGATACATAATAAACTAAGGTAATGAATTCAGTGAAGTTCCACCTTCGCCCTACACTGCAGGCATCCCATCCCTAGACACTGCAGGCATCCCACTGGACACACGCTGGTTGAATCAACGTTGTTTCAATGTAATTTGTCACCCTATTGTGAGTGACGTGGAATCTACGTGGAAAATACATTTGAATTTGCAAAAAGTAATCAACCAGTACTGTTTCTCTTATTTCAACCAGCGTTGTAAACATTACAATTTGTTTAAAACTTCAACTTACATACAATTAATTACTTGACTAACAGGTTGTTACATCAATCAAATTTCAACATAATCATCAGAACTATGTTTACGTTGAAATTTGCCTTGAAAATTCCACGTAGAAATTGAATTTCTGTGTTTGCAAACATTGCCGCTATGTTTGGAATATTTATTTATTGCACAGAATAGGTCAACTTTTGTACTATGGGGATAGTATATTGACATAGACAGCCTATGTCAATCTACTATCCCCCATAGTACAAAAGTTGATAGGCTAGTGCTTTTGCTGTTCGTTAGGCCTACTCATTCTTGTTGGCTCACGAAAAGTAAATGTGGACAGTCCTTCCAATATCGTCAATATGCGCCTCGGAATTGGATAAGGACGCATCCCCGATGTGTCTGTCTTAATTTAGCCTGTGAGAAAGACCCGATCACGTGACGGGCATTGGCTAATAAGAATTGAGATATCCGAGAGAGCCATGTGAGTGAGAGGTGCTTCGGAGCACGCAGCCAGGAGGGAATTATAATTATTAAATTCAGCCCAAGGGCACAACGGCCACTGGATTTTTTTAGTGGGCATTACGGCCACACAAAGGGGATGCTGCCGGGTAATTCGAGGCATTATCAAGTGCTTGTCAAATTGTGAATACGAGTCTGATGAAGTGTGTACAGCCTGCACAAATAACAAAGCAGAGCTCATGCCTTTCATGCGACTTTTTTCAAATCAACATTAGTCGCATCATGCAGCCTTAGAATGTATTAAAATGTATTTCATACAATCGAACCCAGAACCCTGGCGTTGCAAGCTACACGGGGCCCATACAGTATAAATATCCATAATTCTATTATGACCTTCCTCATCCTGAGAATAAATACAGATCATTATCTCAACGCATTCTTAATACTATTAATTTAGCAGTGTATATACCTCCTACCCAAATTAGCAAATTTAGATAACTCCAAATGTATTATCAACACAGCTAACCAAATCCCTTCCTTCCCCGGCACTTACATCTTCTGGCGTCTCTTCATTATGTTCTTCAGACAACTTCATAGTTCAAAATGAATTGCCCATGATAATGTCCCACCTTCAATGTCTCATCCGAGTCACCACCATCACTACACCCCATTGTGTCTTGTCCAATTTGCCAACCATTATACCAACAACATCAGAAATGTTGTATTTGAACAGATCTTTCTCCATTCTCACTCAATGGCGGACTCCTGTCCCACTCCCTCTAAATAAAAAACATGAGAGAAAATCAGTTGATAGCTTCGATTGGCTGTTGTAGACCGGTTGCAGGTAGAAGTGGTGCTGTACAGGAACGTCTTCAACACCTCTGATGTTCATCTTCAGCCGGTTCAGAGGTTGTTTCTTTTTAAGGTTCACACCATTCTAGGCCAAATTATCCCTACTACGCATCAAGACACCATCTGTATTTACCTCAATAGAAGACAGAACATAACAGTTTAGTTGAGTTCATTCCTAATCCAAGAAATCCATATAAGCATTGACTATATGACAAATTATTATGTTTTACCACTTATTCTTAATACCAATTTCTAATATACTTCCCAATTTCTGTTAGGGAAACCCTCCACAGACAGAGAAATGAATGGTGTGAAAGTCAGGTGATTCTTGAAATTCTGGAAGATCTTGAAGTTCTTGGAGGTCTGTCCCTCCGCCTAGGGAATCATCCAGAACACATAGCTCATCAGTATCATTCCCCTTTCCATCGTCTCCCATCACCTGATTCTTGTCAGCACCAGCATCCTCAGCTCCCTCATCTCTAGGTCGTCGGTTTCCTCGTAGTACTCTGTTGTAGTACAGACACAAAAGAAAACAATGCTCCGCAGTGGTGTTTCCATCTTCCTCCTCTGGGTTGGAACACTCCTACAGTGGGACACATAGATGCAGGTATCTTTCTCTGCTACTTTCCCCTCCATCGAGGTAGCCAGCAACATCTAGTACTAACCTCCCCACCTGGGTTTTGTCCATCTCTTACTTCTGTAATCCTTTAGCGCATACAATGCCCAGATTCTCCTGTTAGGTTTGGCAGAGAAGCCTTCACCCGTGGGAAGAAAGTCTTAGCAACATTGTTAGGTGCGACACCGTATGCTACTATACCCTGTCTTCTTATCAGTCAGGAGAAGCCTTGAAAAGTGCCCATACTTGCAGCTTGTTATAGGTCACCAGTTTCATAGACAGGCCTCCTCTACATCCTGCCTTATACCACAAATACATTTTCACCTAAAACATTTCATCTAACCCATAACACATTATTTACTACTGCTCATATTCTTAATACAACTTGCATATTTACCAAAAAACCTCATGCGGGCAGTACTTCCCCCCTTTGGACACATGACTCACATCGTGATTAATGCATTCAAAAAACCAAAACAACAACATTGCCTGTTAAACTAAAATAATAAATGAAATTAAAATGACAACATTTGATAATACCTTAACTTAATTGTATCCCATTAAGTAATTCAAGTAACATCAAACTTGACTAGCGCCAGGTGTTCCTCATTCAGGACTAGCTCTCTCACTCTGACCTTATTATGGTCAGAATCATAGATATGACTATTGCCAAATTATAAACTTCTTCATAATTTTCAGTATTATAAATACCCTCAACTCTGTATAATAAATTACCATAAATCCCTCATCCCATGCCTATTGGCTTTCCAGTGTGGGTGATCAATTCACACTAGAAAGTCAGGACAGAGTTCAGAGGTCATTCAAACCCTTCAAAGAAGTGTTCCATTCTATAGTATAAACTAATCATTAACAACAGTCAAAACATTTCTTAAATGTTTTGTATCCCCAGTGTACAGTAAGTCCTCATAACATTTATTCTCGAAAGAAAGCACGTATTTACCCAAAACTCACTCATTAAAAAAAAAAAATCCTAAAATCAAAAATATAAACCCTATATAACCATTATAATAGGTGGGTTGTGTGTGGTTATCTGAAAAACCATATTGGAAAACAACAAACAAAAATGGCCAGACGTTATTTAATTCGGTAGCTCCCTCTTATGACCTAATTATAAGACTGCCAAATTTTACTAACTGCTCCACCTAGCCCACATACTTTTGAAACATCCCAATGAGAGATAAGGAAATCCCCATTTTCCTGGAAGAGAAAGTATATATTTAGTTAACATTCAATTATAATCAGCAATCCAAAAATATTAATTTCACACAAAACATGATGCAGATATACCCTGTCCTACCTCACATCAATAATTGTTTGTTTCAATCTAATTCCTCATAACTACTCCAGAAGAAGATTACATCAAATCTCTCAAAATATGAAAACCACTCAAAGTTCTCAGGGTTTACAATGAGTATTGTGAAATTATTACTCTTTATACCTCAAGTCTCACAATGATTATCAAACCCCCCAAATCGGCTTCATTTTATCCCATATCAAATCTTCATGGTATCTGTCACGATCGTCAGGGAGAGAAGTAGACCAATGCGCAGCGTGATGAACGAACATGTTACTTTATTTAATAAAGCACGAAACAAAACAACAAACGACTCGTAACGTCCTTGGTAACAATGACCAACACGGAACAAAAACCCACAAACACAAAGTGAAAAACAGACAGTTTAAATATGGCTCCCAATCAGAGACAACCAGCCAACAGCTGAACTCGTTGCCTCTGATTGGGAGTCACTCAGGCAAACATAGAAAATGAAGAACTAGAACCCCCAACATAGAAAATAAACACATAGAATGAACACACCCTGGCTCAACAAATAGAGTCCCAGAGCCAGGGTGTGACAGTACCCCCCCCTAAAGGCGCGGACTGCGACCGCGCCTCAATACGAGCAAAACAGGGGAGGGCTGGGTGGGCATTCCTCCTCGGCGGCGGTTCTGGCTCCGGGCTTGCCCACCACCCTCCAACAAACCCCCCATAGCGCCCCTGGTCTGGTCTGGCCCCGCTGACTGGAGCTGGACTGGACGTAGCAGGAACGGTTAGCTTCAACTCCTTAGTGGAGCCGTTGACCGGTACCTGGTTAGGCACCGGTGACCCAGGCACGGGTTGTGCCGGACAGACGACGCGCACCCCTGGCTTGGTGCGTGAGGCAGGAAAGGACCGGACCTGGCTGACGATGCGCACCCCTGGCTTGGTGCGTGGATCAGCAACGGGCCGGACCGGGCTGACGATGCGCACCCCTGGCTTGGTGCGTGGAGCCGGAACGGGCCTCACCGGACTGACGACTCGCACCCCTGGCTTGGTGCGTGGATCAGCAACGGGCCGGACCGGGCTGACGATGCGCACTCCTGGCTTGGTGCGTGGAGCCGGAACGGGCCTGACGACTCGCACCGTAGACTTGGTGCGAGTGGCAGGAACAGGCCGGGCCGGGCTGGCGACGCGCACCGTAGACTTGGTGCGAGTGGCAGGAACGGGCTGGACCAGGCTGACGACTCGCACCGTAGGCTTGGTGCGTGGAGCAGGGACAGGCCGGACTGGGCTGGCGACGCACACCGTAGGCTTGGTGCGTGGAGCAGGGACAGGCCGGACTGGGCTGGCGACGCACACCGTAGGCTTGGTGCGTGGAGCAGGGACAGGCCGGGCTGGGCTGGCGACGCACACCGTAGATTTGGTGCGAGTGGCAGGAACAGGCCGGACCGTACTGGGAACACACACCACTGGCCCTACGT